CCCCAAAACCCCAAAACCCCAAAACCCCAAAACCCCAATAAATAGGGGGAAATTGTTGCGATTTTTACAATACAATAATAAAAAGTTAAATGAGTCATAAATCTGAAGAAGAAAGTAGCCAGCATATGAAGAGCAATATCGACAGTAAGTCAAACTTTCTATGTGTCTCTTCCTCATGGAGGGATTGCTCTTAGTTATGGGAATCTCTCTTATCTTGCTGTTATAGATGAATATAGAGGTGAGTAGTACCAAGAATAAAGATAATGGCAACCTAATTTTTGGATAAATTTTTAATCATTTATGTAGAAAGAGCAGTAGGAAGAAAATCTTCAAATTTCAAAGATGCCCATGGCACAAAGATACAACTTACATGGAAGGACATTGTAGTCACTGCTCCTCCAAAGAAGGAGATGTGTAAGAAACTTCCCGAAGATGCAGAGGAGAAAGTTATTTTAGGTAAGGATCTCTACCAGAAAATACTGAGGTGGAGCTTCTTCCCATCACAAGGCTCTGTTTGGATTATCTCAGAATCAAATTCTTTTCTGTATCTGGCCAATCTTTTTGATTTTCTAAAATTCTGATATCGATTGTGAATTAGCCTAAGCTACTTATAATTTTTATGAAAATCGCAACTTTACCACTGACACTAATTGTTGCGATTTTCCTAAACTTCTGATCTGGCTCTAATCTATAAATAGATTCTCTCAGTGGAACTGTAAAGCCTGGGGAGTTTCTATCAATCATTGGAGCTTCAGGTGCAGGAAAGACAACGTTGTTGAACTACCTTGTTGGTAAGGACCCTAGTAAAAATCTGAAGAAATCTGGAGACATTACCATTAACGGTATCGACAGAAATAAGATTAATTATTCTCACTATATTGGATATGTACAACAAGATGACATCCTTCTTCAGTCAATGTCTGTCAAAGAATGCCTGATGTTCTCTGCAAGAATGAAGCTACCGAAAGATGCGAATAAAGAAGAAAGAGTGCAGGAAGTGATCGACAGCCTTAAGCTTAATAAATGAGCCGATACTAAGATTGGAGGTCCACTGATCAAAGGTATCTCTGGTGGTGAGAGAAAAAGAACTTCTATTGGAGTTGAGCTTATTACTAACCCAAACCTTGTTTTCTTGGATGAGCCTACCACAGGACTTGATTCATTCACTGCTACAAATGTGATGGAAGTGCTTAAGGACCTGGCTTTATCTGGAAGAACAGTTGTAAGCACTATTCATCAGCCAAATTCTGAGATCTTTGATCTTTTTGATCAATTAATGTTGATGGCAAATGGAAAGATCCTTTATCATAATGATGCTAAACTATCTGTCAGGTACTTCAAAAGCCTCGGATATGAGTGTCCTTCTCTAACTAATCCAGCTGACTTCTTTATGAACATGATGAGTATTGAGGCCTATCAAGAAGAAGATGATGAGGATGAAGTTGTCTTACAGAAAACTAGGTCTAAAATCCAAGAAGATTATAGTGAGAAAATCAATTTCTTAGCGAATAAATATAACGAGAGTGAGCTTAGATGAGACCCTGATCAAGTTCATCCTGAAGTAGGAGAGCTTAAAGACCAGAAAGTGAATAGAATTGGAATTGTTATGCAGTTTTTCCTCCTCTTCTGGAGATCATTTCTTAATATCCTCAGAGTTCCAGTGTCAAGCTATGTCAGAGGGATAGCTTATTCAATGCTAGCCATTGTCTGTGTTATCATTTTTGGTCAAATGGAGCATGACTGAGCATCTATTCAGAACAGATCTGGAGCCTTATTCTTTGTATCACTAAATATGATTATGAATGCTGTGCAAGGTGTCATTTTAACATTCCCTGATGAGAGATCTGTATTCCAGAGAGAACAAGGAAGTGATACGTACAAAGCAACCCCATATTTCTTTGCTAAAGTGTTAAGTGATATTCCAAGCTTCATAGTCTTTCCTGGCTTGTTCTCTATCATTACTTACTTTGGACTCCAACTGAATGATGACTCTGCAGGAAAGTTCTTTGTCTATACATCAATTAATATCCTAATCTCTGTTGCTACGACTGGTAACGGTATGCTAATTGGATCTGCTATCTCTGACAAGCAATTAGCAGTTGCTCTCACACCTGTCTTCATTATACCATTTATGCTGTTCTCTGGCTTCTTTGTGAATCAAGACAACATCCCTGTATTCCTCAAGCCTTTGGAGTACATATCAATGTTCAAATACGGTTATCAAGCTCATATGCATAACGAGTTCAATAATCTTTCTATCAACTGCAGTGGAAGAGATGCTTTAGCAGAGTTTGATTTCCAAGAAAACCTCACTGAATCATTACTAGCAATTGGAGGTCTTGGCCTGGCCTACTACACCATGGCATACTTTATAATCCTCCTCGTTGCAAAGAAGGCTAAATAATTCTGTTTAATACCTTCTCTCTAACCTTATTTCCCAACTTCTGGACCTCTTGTTTCCCCTGAAAAATTGAAATTTCCACAAAGAAAATTTAAGATTTTGTTCCTGAATTTTAATGGGAAATTAAGCTATAGGAAGAAATAGAAGGGTTAAAATAAGGATTAGGGGTTTTGGGGTTTTGGGGTTTTGGGGTTTTGGGG